ATAGGGCTTGAGAGCATTCTAAACTGGACTGCCTGAGTGAAATGCCCAATAAATATTAGTTATAGGCTCGGTGTCTGTGGCTCAAGCAGCTGAGGCGCCAGCCACATACACCTGAGCTGGCGAGTTCGAATCCAGCCCGGGCCTGCCAAACAACAATGACGGCTGCAACAAAAAAATAGCTGGGCGTTGTGGCATTGTGGGCCTGTAGTCCCAGCTACTTGGCAGGCAGAGGCAGGAGAATCTCTTGAACCCAGGAGTTGGAGGTTGCTGTGAGCTGTGATGCCATAGCACTTTACTCAGGGCAACAGCTTCAGACTCTGTCTCAAAAAAAAAAAAATGTATTAGTTAGGGATGGTGCCTGTGGCTCAAAGGAGTAGGGCGCTGGCCCCATATGCCAGAGGTGGCGGGTTCAAACCCAGCCCCAGCCAAAAACTGAAAGAAAAAAAAAAGCATTAGTTATAATAGTTGAATAAATGGTAACAATTTTCATTCACTGTTTTATTTTTTTCTTTTAATTCTTTTAGTAGGCCTATGAAAACAGGAACGATACCCATTTTTTGAGAAATCAGGGTTGAGTGGCAACAGAGTGCTTTTTGCCTTATTGAATACATTCCATGATGACCTAGTCCGTGGCTTCTAGGTTTTTTTTTTTTTTTTGCAGTTTTTGGCTGGGGTCAGTTTTGAACCCACTACCTCTGGTATTTGAGGCCAGCGCCCCACTCACTGAGTCACAGGCACCGCCCAGTAAGTGGCTTCTGTTAGAGCCAGAGTCCTAGAAAACTTGCTTGCTCTACTTAGTTGGTTTGGAAACCAGTCCTCCTGCTAAGGATACACTTTTCTAGTATTACCCATCTTCTTCCATGGCCCTTTTTTTTTTTTTTTTTTGGAGACACAGTCTCACTATGTCACCCTTGGTAGAGTGCTGTAGCATCACAGTTCACAGCAACCTCAAATTCTTGGGCTGTGATTCTCTTGCCTCAGCCTCCCGAGAAGCTGAGACTACAGGCACCCACCACAATGCCCAGCTATTTTTTGGTTGCAGTTGTCATCATTGTTTAGCTGGCCTGGACCAGGCTCAAACCTGCCACCTTCAATGTATGTGGCTGGTGCCCTACTCATTGAGCAATGGGCGCCAAGCCAGGCCCATTATTTTTTGGTTTTATTTTTAATCAAGATAGTATCTTGTACTGTCACCCCAGACTAGAATTCAGTGTTGCACAAGATGACTACTCACTGAAACCTAAAATTTCTGGGCTCAAGTGATCCCCCTGCTTCAGCTCCTGAGTAGCTGGGAGTATAGTTGCATACTACCATGCCTGGCTAATTTTTATTTTTTTTAATTATTTTTATATATATATTTGAGACAGAATCTTACTTTGTCACCCTCAGTAGAGTGCAGTGATGTCACAGCTCATAGCAACCTCCAGCTCTTGGGCTTAAGTGATTCTCTTGCCTCCCAAGTAGCTGGGACCACAGGCGCCTGCCACAGCACCTGGCTATTTTTTTGGTTGCAATTGTCATTATTGTTTAGCTGGCCTGGGCGACGTTCAAACCCACCAGCCTCAGTGTATGTGGCTGGTGCTGTAACCACTGTCCTATGGATGCAGAGCCTATTTTTTTAAATTTTTTTTTTTTTTTTTTTGAGACAGAGTCTTACTTTGTTGCCCTCAGAGTGCTGTGGTGTCACAGTTCACAGCAACTTCAAACTTGGGCTTAAGCAATTCTCTTGCCTCAGCCTCCCAAGTAGCTGAGACTACAAACTGAACTTTATTTCTTCCCCTGCAATGGGAGTGAATGCAGTGTTCACTTGCTGGCTATTTTTTAGAGATGAGGTCTTCCTCTGGCTCATGCTGGTCTCAAACTCTATGAGCAAAGCCAATCCACAAGCCTTCGCCTCCCAAGTGCTGGGATTACAAGCGTGACCAGGGTGTCACTGCGCCCAGCCCAGCCTGGCTAATTTTTTTTTTTTTTTTGGAGACAGAGTCTCACCATATCACCCTTGGTAAAGTGCTGTAGCATTACAGCTCACAGCAACCTCAAACTCTTGGGCTCAAGCGATCTCTTGCCTCAGCCTCCCAAGTAGCTGGGATTACATGCGCCCACCACAACATCTGGTTTTTTTTTTCCGAGACAGAGCCTCAAGGTATTGCCCTAGGTAGAGTGCAGTGGCGTCACAGCTCACATCAACCTCTAGCTCCTGGGCTCAAGTGATTCTCCTGCCTCTGCTTCCCAAGTAGCTGGGACTACACGCCCACCACAACACCCGGCTGTTTTTTGGTTGCAGCCATCGTTGTTGTTTGGTGGGCCTGGGCTGGATTCGAACCCGTCAGGTGTATGTGGCTGGCGCCTTAGCCGCTTGAGCCACAGGCACCGAGCCATCTGGTTATTTTTTGTTGCAACTGTCACTGCTGTTTAGCTGGTCCAGGCTGGGTTTGAACCAGCCAGCCTCGGTGAATGTTGCTGGTGCTATAACCACTGTGCTATGGGCGTCGAGCCCATTCTGGCTAATTTTCATTTATTTATTTTTTTGAGACAGAGCCTGAAGCTGTCACCCTGGGTAGAGTGCCATGGCATCACAGCTCACAGCAACCTTCAACTCCTGGGCTTATGGGATTCTCTTGCCTCAGCCTCCCAAGTAGCTGGGACTACAGGCACCTGCCACAATACCTGGCTATTTTTTGGTTGTAGTTGTCATTGTTGTTTGGCAGGCCTGGGCTGGATTTGAACCCGCCAGCTCTAGTGTATGTGGCTGGTGCCTTAGCCACTTGAGCACTGAGTCCATCCTGGCTGATTTTTAAAAACAAATTTTTGTAGAGATGAGATCTCTCAATGTTGCCCAGGTGGTGTTATTTATTTATTTATTTATTTATTTATTTTAAGACAGGAGCTTCAAGCTGTCCCCCTGGGTAGAGTGCTGTGGCATCTCAGCTCACAGCAACCTCCAACTCCTGGGCTCAAGCAAGTCTCCTGCCTCAGCCTCCCAAGTAGCTACAATGCCTGGCTATTTTTTGGTTGCAGCTGTCATTGTTGTTTGGTGGGTCTGGGCTGGATTTGAACGCACCACCTTGGGTGTACATGGCTGGCGCCTTAGCCATTTGAGCCACAGGCGCCAAGCCAGTGGTGCTATTTTTTATTTTATTATTATTATTTTTTGAGACAGAGTCTCGAGCTGTCACCATGGTAGAGTGCTGTAGCATCACAGCTCACAGCAACCTGAAATGCTTGGGCTCCAGCAATTCTCTTGCCTCAGCCTCCCAAGTAGCTGGGACTACAGGAACCCACCACAACACCCTGCTATTTTTTTTTTGTTGTTGCAGTTGTCATTGTTTTTAGCTGGCACAGGCCGTTTCGAACCCACCATCCTTAGAGTATGTGGCAGGCACCCTACCCACTGAGCTACAGGCACCAAGGTGGTGCTATTTTTTATCGAGGAAGAGTCTCAAGCTGTTGCCCTGGGTAGAATGCTGTGATGTCACAGCTCACAGCAACCTCAAACTCTTGGGCTTAAGTGATTTGCTTGCCTCAGCCTCCCAAGTAGCTGGGATTACACGGCCGGCGGTGTTATTTTTAATTACACAAATATATACATTTCTATTGTAGAAGATTTGAATATGAGGCAATTATAGTCCTTATTTATGGAATTTCACATTGTGATTTTTACTTATTACTATAAACAATGCTACATTCTAGCTCTTAGGTGAGTAGAAAGAAGAAAATTGCTTGGTTTTTTTTGTTATTATTTTTTCATATATTATATATTTGTTTGTATTTTTTTTTCATATATTATATATTTGTTGTAATACATCCTCAATTACAAAGGCAACACTAGGTCCTTGGTCTCTGGGATTTGAAGAATGAACCCGTGGACCACAGATCAGTGGTAAGATAGGATTTTATTAGACAGAAAGGAATACAGAAGGAATAAAAAGCACCAGAGCTTCTGGCAAAGAGGAAGACCTAAGTCGGAAGTCTCCTGTTATTGTTTTTAAAGACACAGTCTCACCGTGTTGCCCCTTGATAGAGTGCCGTGGAGTCAGCCTAGCTCACACCAACCTCAAATTACTGAGGTTTCATGGCATGCAGCCGTAGTCCCAGCTACTCAGGACTGGAGGATCGCTTCTCAAGAGTTTGAGATTACAGTGAACTATGATGATTCCACTGCACCCTACTCTGGGTGAAAGAGCAAGACACTGTCTCAAAAAAAGTTTCATTCCAGCTTCTATGGCTGGGATCACTGCCCCACCTCCCTTCCCACTCCCAAATGCCTTACAGAGCCAGGCAGGAACAGAAAGGGTAAGGCAGTTTCACTGAAGAAAAATGAGACGTGATCGCAACTGTTATGAACAGGAAAACACAGTCCTCTTAAAGGAGAAACTATTATTCGGCTCCAGCAAATTGTTGTCAAGTAGGAATAAAAGCTCCATGTTAACAGCTCCATTTTTTAAAAGCTGGAAATCTGGGGGTTTTTTGTTTTTGTTTTTTTGAAACAAGAGTATCTCTTTGTCGCCCTTGGTAGAGTGCCACGGTGTCATAGCTCACAGCGACCTCAAACTCTTGGGCTCAGGCAATCCTCTAAGCCTCAGCTTTTCATTTTTAGTGGAGATGGGGCCTCACCCTTGCTCAGGCTGGTCTCAAACTCCTGAGCTCAAGCAATCTACCCACCTCGGTCTCCCAGAGAGCTAGGATTACAGACATGAGCCACTGCATCTGGCCTGGAAATCTGCATTTTTTTTTTTTTGCAGTTTTGGCCGGAGCTGGGCTCGAACCTACCACCCCCGGTATATGAGGCCACCGCCCTACTCCTTGAGCCACAGGTGCCACCTGGAAATCTGTATTTTAATGTTAAATATAATTTCTAAATGTTAGGCCAACTTTGTGTTTGTTGGGGTGGGAGCAGGTTCAGGCCATACACTGCATCTGTTAATTAAACAGAATCTGGTATATAAAAGGTATTCAATATTTGAATAAAAGGTTGTCTTGCTGTTTTTCTTCCTTCCATTAAACTAAATGAAACATCCAGAGCAAGTGATAAATGATAAAAACTCTTATACCATTGTCAGGAACTAGTTGTTCCAGTGTTGCTTTATTACTATCTCTCAAACTAGACACTAACTAACATAAATGCAGGTCACATCACAATATTCATCACATCAGTTTCCAACACAATGCTTCAGAAATTCTTGCTGTTGTTGATCCCATGAGTGAATAAATGAAGATCTAAGTAGGTAACCAATTTACCTTTAGATTGTGAATTTACTTTTAAATTAAAATGTCCCTGTAATCACATTAGTACCAAGTACTGAGACAGGCACATCCCCTAACCCACTCTGTTTTACTTGCAAAATAATGGTGGAACAAAATGGGTGAGGATGTATGAGATCTGACCATACAGCTCTTTGTGACAATCCTACCCAAACCCATGGCTTTCAAAATCCCAATTCCAAAGACTATCCCCAAGTTTTATACCTCCTGGCTCATATGTCCATCATTTAGGATTTCTTCTTCCCATGGTATATCTGAGTTTCTACATGGCCCTCGCCTTGTACATGGGGACAGGTAGCCTGGAGTCTCAGGGATGGGCACTTGCTTGCTCTTTCCTCCTCTGTAGCTCCTCCCGCCGCTTTGCCTGCTGTTCACTCATGCAATCTTTGAATGCCTGCACCTGTGCCTGGCACTGCCGCCAGTCCTGGTGCTGGGCCATGCATTCCTGCACTGCAAAGTGGGAGGCAGCACAGCCAGAGCGGGAGATCAGCTGGTCCAGCGGGTCCTCTTCCTCATCTTCCTTCTTCACCTGCCGGGCCCAGGTATGGCCTTGAGGTACTGAGGCTGACATCTGGGAGAATCTATAGAAGATAAACAGAGAGACAAAGTTAGAGCAGGGATATAATTATTAATATATATACGGTCCTGGATTATAAATAGCACTGACCAAACTGCATTATTTTTTTCTTTTTGTAGAGACAGAGTCTCATTTTATTGCCTTCGGTAGAGTGTCGTGGCATCACACAGCTCACAGCAACCTCCAACTCCTGGGCTTAGGCGATTCTCTTGCCTCAGCCTCCCAAGTAGCTAGGACTACAGGTGCCCACCACAATGCCTGGCTATTTTTTTGTTGCAATTTGGCTGGGTTTTGAACCCACCACCCTTGGTATATGGGCCTGGCACCCTACCCACTGAACCACAGGCACTGCCCCAAACTGCATTATTATAGCTTTTTTATGTGTCTGTCTTCCCTAGGAGAAACTCTTTGAGGAGAGTTCTTTGAGGACAAATGCTTTACCTTGGTGCTTCTAGCATTAGGACAGGCAGAGAATGGGACTGCAAAATGGTTTCAAGAGAACTAAGTAAGATAAAGTATGTGAAATTGCTTAACGCAGCATTCAGTAAGCTCAATTCTTCAAATGGAATATGAATAAGGTGAAAAGTCTCCTTTTGAGGGAAGCCATCTCTGATCTACCTCAAAAGAATTAATGTTTCCTCTTTTTTTCTACTGACTTATTTTACAACTGAAGAACAAAATTTTAAATTTGAAAAAGTACCTAAATAAGGGTAGGTTCTGAAACATGGGAGGAACGGAAAGAGTTCAATGTGGTTGTAAAAAAAAAACATGCAGAGGCCAGGGAAAGAGATGAGTCCATGAGTTAAATGAAGTAGTTTTGACAACTATACAAAAACGTGAGGTGTGTTTACCCAAACTGTCTTCCCAAGATCATGTGTTTCAGAGTACCAGCAGAAGGTAGCATGCAGAAGGAACTTAAAAAGGTTTGAAGAAAAATGAGTTCAGCCTTTGCACACATTTCACCATGATAGGCTGTAAAGAAGGTAGGACTCCTTAATACCTTTACTTTGTCTCTCATTCATTCTGCATACTATTGAGCACCTATGAAGCACCAGGCACTATGCTAGAGTTGAGCATTTGGGAGAGACCAAGTCAGCTGCAGTTCTTGCCTTCATGGAATCTACAATCTAAACAGAAACAGGCAGAGCAATTTACTACACAGTGTGTACAGATAGCTGAGACTGGGAACACAGATAAGAGACACCCAATTCTGACAAGAGCACAAATAGGCAGGAAAAGCTTCCTATAAGTGATTTCTTTTTTTTTTTTTTTTT